ACGCCGCAGTACGCAGATCCGAAAGCTTTCACAAGAATGCTGAGTTATGGCCAAAAGTCGGACCACGGACGGCGATTCGAACCCGCATCTTCTGCCTTTCGTGCAGCGCTGCGCTTCCCTATTACGCTACCGAGGCCACTTTTGACCACTCAGCTTAATGGCCTATTTGTGCCATTACCTTCAAGCACTCACACGTTCACTGATGAGCTTGGAAACTTGCAAAAAGCCTTCAGCCTGCGCGTTCACTGGCCGATATCGGGCTTAACCGGTCTCATCACGTTGAACGCAGCGCCCCACTTTTTCTCAAAATCAATAAAATAACTATAAAAAAAAAAACTTGCGTGATAGGGCTATTTGATGCCCTGATCACAGACATGGCATTTATTTCTTGATTCCAGGCGCCTTTCAGCATTCTGCGAAGCGCTGAACAAGGCGAAGGCGGTGTGTCCCCTTCAGCGACAGCTTCAGCTTCAGTGATGTGATATAATAGTGTCTCCATTAGCGCCGACGTTCAGTAATGAACGTTCATATTTGTGATCAGGTTGCCAAATAACCCCGCGCCAAGTTCTCATCGATTTTGTAGACCGAGAGTCTTTGGCGCGGTCGCCAGGCACTTTCAAACCAAGCGGATGTGATATTATATTCGGGAGGGAAAAGTCGTAAAAAACGAGCCTATTTTCTTGAAACTGATGTGGAGTAGTTTGATAGTGCCCAAATTTTTCATGTGCAGCTCATAAAAGTCTGAACAGAATAACTGAAAAAGCGGACGACTCGAGCCTATCTACAGTTTTTTCGCTACTGTACATAAGAAAATGGCAAATCCCTTTTTGTTGTGTCTGTCGCTATTTGTATTATTGTTTTGTTATTTCAGAGCTATTTCCGATCAAATGACTGCGAGAAAGCGGTGCGTTTTTTGAGAAAAAAAGTTTTGGCTCCCCTGTGGAAGCCAAGGATGGATTAGAGAAACCAAAGTAAGTGTCGACTGTTTCCGCCAACTAGTTTTTGGAGAGTTAGAGGGTCAGGGATCACTCGATACGTATACATTTTCTGTAGAGAGTTTTCCAACGTTCTGCTCCACTGTCGGTGACGATCAGGTACACTTTTTTACATGAAGTACTTCAGGAAATGTACGTGCTCCCCATCAGTCGAACGCTACTCCGTTAAGTTGGCATCCTGATTACTGTCGTGTCCGGTGGAAGTATCATGGTAAGAATAGTTTCTTAAGTGGTATTCTGCAGGGGTTTTGAGTAGTGTTAGAGGCAGTGGACACGAGAAGACAGTCCTCCATACATTGATGGGAAAAATGGTCACTGCCCGATTCCATGCTCCAGGACTGACCAGTATCAGTTCGTACGCGCCCTTTGCTGCTCGATGCGCAGCGCGACGAGTGCAGCGCCTTGCATTTCTCGCTCCTCTACATTCTGAGCTGCCTCGCTTGCTAGGTGGGAGAAACATTCGAGATGACTGCAAAAAAAGGAAGTCATACTAGCCCTCACCTTACGAATAACTCTGTGTTAATGGAAAACAAAAAAGAGGGGAAAGAGCGGTTGCGTCATTTGTGATAAAGCGAGGTAACCAGTCCGTTTCGAATTTGCATATGCTATATTTTGCGAAGAAAGGGTAGCAATTCGTTGCATGATAACGGACCTACTTCTTTATTTAGCAACGTTTTGCAGCATATGCACGACCACAACAATGATCATTTCTCCATTCCTGGTACTTCTTTCATTACTGTAGAAGGGTAAAACTTTTTGAACGGATTTCCCCCACTTCCTCTTAGCACATGCCAGTGCTTTTACAACATCCCGCCGTATAATATTTAGTCCACCAACTGGTAGTGAGTTTTACCGCCATGTCGACGCAAGTGGGGTTCAGATCGCCTATGGAGCTAAATTGACTATATTCTGACGAGTTCATCTCGCCGGTAATCCTCAGGCTATGAAAAGGTTGGGTGAGGCATTTCTGTGAGAAATATATCAAAAATTAGAGTACATTTGAGCTCTCGAATATATATAGAACGCTCAGCTTTCATATTCATTTCAGCTTTATTCAGGGGACTCAGTTTCTTATCATATCTCTAGAGGAAGAAGTAATTTCCTTTTTTTTCAATACCAGTACAAATACCTTTCAAAATGCTGAAAGACAGCGTTGATAAGGTACCGTTCGCACTGCAGGAGGACGTTATCGGAGAAAAAAAATAAATGCTGTCCACCTTATGGGAAGGGAAATACTTAGTTTATTTGCAACATTGAGAGTTCTAGTTCGCTGGTGACGAAAGGGCGTGCCGGTCAGTGTGGTGTACCACGCCCCCAAACCCGTTCTCTGACAGTTATTGAGGCGGGTAAGCGACAGTCGCTGGTGGAAACGACTGACGCGAATTATATGATAGTCTTGTCATATGCTCGCTTCAGCAATATAGAAACCGGGGTTGGCACCGCGCCAGGTTCATCCCGCCTGACACGCCCGTTTGTCAGCAGCGAGCTAGACTATATAGCATATCGGAACTTTCTAACGAAAGTGATTGCAAAGTGTGAGAAAAGTTATGCATGAAAAAGCGGTCACCGATTGATTTTTGGTCCCTGGTGTACGTTTTTATTTTGGTAAAACTTTCAAAGTTCCACATTTCAGGTTTGAACCTTGAGTTGATTAATGGGAAGCACTTCGTCCGATGTCAGCACCTCGGCAGTGATTAGGACCAGCTGTGCTCCATGGGGAATTCCAGGTATCTGGTCTATCCATAGGCAGATCAAACTGGCCGTCGTTAACGAAAGGCTATTTGCTGATTTGTTCGCTGTGATGCTGGTTCATATCTTGCTCTATGGTGTAATACATACGTACATAGTGGAGCTTAATGATCCAGCGGAATCTATGGACGCGAAGAATTTCGTATTTTGTATGATGTTTTGTTCATGTCTGTTCTGCTTACGCTAGGTGCTCGTCATGGGTATTAGAGTACCAACAAGTATTAGCTTTGGATTGCTCGACGATTGGGGCCCATCAAGTTGTAGGTATTATACGTAAAGATTGTTAAGTTATTGTCAGTGCTGACCATTGTGCGAGCCGACTGAAAAGAAATGAAGACTGTTCATTTGTTATTGCGTGAAAGACACAACCGACGTTTTGTCGTAGCGTACAATTAGTTGTTTTGCAACCTACAGGTGGGTGTTATATTTGGTATTCATTGGTTCTTAGTTGTTTTCAGTTTCTATGTTATTCGCCACCAAAACATAAAGTTAGTGCTGGGGGCGGTTGTGTCGGGACCCCTTTTTGAGGTGGGGGAAGGGGAGGCGTGTTCAAAATTGCACTAACCTTCTTCACATCCTATGCTGTACTCTGCTTCCAAATCGCGTGACCGAACGGTCAAAGGAGGGTTGCTAAGGAAAAACTTTTCACTGAATGGGATCGGACTAGATTAGCAGTTGAGTTGGCTCCGTGAGCTTTAGGGGTTTGGCTTTCGCCCATGTGGGGAGATGAGTGGGTCCTAGGGGAATGTCCGAAATTCAGCTGCCTTCCTCATAATCACTTTGGTGCTGACTGGTTCTTCTGCTTACGATCTCCATCGTTGTGATTTCCAATGCAATTTGTGCTTGAGCGAATCTCATATCCACTGCATATACCTTCCGACCGTCTAGAATTGTGGAAGTACGACGTTTCAAGAGACTTTGCAGCTTTTTTGTTGGCCAGGGATGCTAGAGTGAGTCAGGATCAGTTCTTGCGCGATAACCTACGCACTTCCCTCGCCGTAACACGATCGAAATGCTCGATTTAATACCATTAGCTGGTGCAGGGCCCTTGCACGCATTTCAAGGGATAAGAGCACACCTCAAGTCGAATGTGATCAGCATCTAACAAGAGGTTCACGATTTAGCTACTAATGTGCACGAAGACAGCGTGGAATTCCTAAACCTAGCATCACCACCCTTCCTTTAGGTGAGCCTACAAATCCAGTAATGACAAGGTAACTAACAAGCAGAGTATGATCGGCAAAACACAACCCCCTTTCTAACTGCGTTTTCAGTCTTTTTTGGGTCCAACTTTATGCAGTCCGCTTAGAAGCGAAGATACCGCGGACTCTGCCCTTTTGTTGCCTCTAGACTGGTAGGCGGAGCAAAGAGCGGGGTAGATTGCGAAGACAACATTTGGCACTTCTGAACTGTTCCTACCCTAGAAACTCAAAAAGTTTTCGTTGAAACTCTGGTAGATAATTCAGAATGTTTCTTCAGCCTCCCGAGATTAATTGAAAGCCGATCCTGTGATATTCTGGCTGTAGATGTTGTTCCCTGATCACGAAAATGACATTCATTTAGCGCCACAAGCGCCAATGTAGCGCCCCACTTTTTCTCCAAAATCAATAAAAATAAACTATCAAAAAACTTTAAAAACTATAAAAGAAATAAAACTTGCGTGATAGGGCTATTTGATGCCCTGGATCACAGACATGGCATTTATTTCTTGATTCCAGCGCCTTTCAGCATTCTGCGAAGCTGAACAAGGCGAAGGGGTGTCCCCTTAGGCCGCCTCAGCTTCAGTGATTGATGATAATAGTGTCTCCATTTAGCGCCGACGTCAGTTAATGAAACGTCATATTTGTGATCAGGTTGCCATATAACCCGTGCGCAAGTTCTCATCGGATTTTGTAGACCGAGAGGTCTTTGGCGCGGTCGCCAGGCACTTTCAGAACCAAGCGGATGTGATATACATTCGGGAGGGAAAAGTTCGGTAAAAACTAGCCTATTTTCTTGAAACTGATGTAGAGTAGTGGTATAGTGCCCAAATTTTCATGTTGCAGCTCATAAAAGTCTGACTAGAATAACTGAAAGCGGACGACTCGAGCTTTGCTACAGTTTTTTGCTACTGTACATAAGAAAATGGACATTGTGATAACCTGTGAACCAACCTGCCAACAACACTATCATGTAAACTTGCCTTTCGGTATCCCTTTTTGTTGTGCCTGTCGCTATTGTTATTTATTTTTGTTATTTCAGGCTATTTCCGATCAAATGACTGCAGAGAATGAGAAAGCGTGGTTTTGAAAAAGTTTTGGCTTCCTCTGTGGAAGCCAAGGATGGACTAGAGAAACCAAAGTAGTGTCGACTGTCTCCGCCAACTAGTTTTTGGAGAGTTAGAGGGTCAGGGATCACTCGATACGTATACATTTTCTGTAGAGAGTTTTCCAACGTTCTGCTCCACTGTCGGTGACGATCAGGTACACTTTTTTACATGAAGTACTTCAGGAAATGTACGTGCTCCCCATCAGTCGAACGCTACTCCGTTAAGTTGGCATCCTGATTACTGTCGTCTCCGGTGGAAGTATCATGGTAAGAATAGTTTCTTAAGTGGTATTCTGCAGGGGTTTTGAGTAGTGTTAGAGGCAGTGGACACGAGAAGACACTCCTCCATACATTGATGGGAAAAAGTGTTCACTGCCCGATTCCATGCTCCAGGGCTGACCAGCATCAGTTCGTACGCGCCCTTTGCTGCTCGGTGCGCAGCGCGACGAGTGCAGCGCCTTGCATTTCTCGCTCCTCTACCTTTTGAGCTGCCTCGCTTGCTAGGTGGGAGAAACATTCGAGATGACTGCAAAAAAAGAGAAGTCATACTAGCCCTCACCTTACGAATAACTCTGTGTTAATGGAAAACAAAAAAAGTGGGGAACGAGCGGTTGCGTCATGTGTGATGAAGCGAGGTAACCAGTCCGTTTCAAATTTGCATATGCTATATTTTGCGAAGAAACGGTAGCATTTCTTTTGCTGAGCTGGTGGACTTACTTCCTTATTTAGCAACGTTTATTTGCAGCATATGCACGACCACAACAATGATCATTTATCCATTCTTGGTACTTCTTTCATTACTGTAGTATAATATTCAGTCCACCAACGTATAATATTCAGTCCACCAACTGGTAGTGAGTTTTACCGCGATGTCGAGGCAAATGGGGTTCAGGTTGCTAACGGAGCTGCGAAACTGTCTACATGAGCTGATCTCGAAAAAATCCTCAGCTCATCTAGAGGTTGAATGAGAAATCTGTCAAAGATTAGTGGCAGTGTGCGTTCTCAAATCTGTAGAGCGGTCTGCATTGCCGGTTCCCTCGTATCGCTTCCTTTCATATTCATTGCAGCTTTGTTATTTCTCAGAGGACTCACTTACTTATCATACCAGTGGGGGAAACAGTAATCTCGTTCGTTTAATACCGGAAATCAAGAACAATAACCTTTCAACATGCTGAAAGATTGAGCATTGATGTGCTCCCGTTCGCACTGCAGGTGGTTGTTATTGGAGAGAAAAAATTGAATGCCACCCACATCATGGCAAGAGAAATGCTTAGTTAATTTGCAACATTGAGAGTTTTACTCTAGTTTGCTGCTGACGGAGGGGCGTGCCAGTCGGTGTGAGCCACGAGACCCGTTCTCTGTTGTTGAGGCCGGTAAGCGAAAAGCTCGAAAATGACTGATACAAACGATATGATATAGCTCTTTTCACATTCTTCAGCAACTAGTCGAGAACTGGCTTGACACCGCGCCAGGTTCATCCCGCCTGACACGCCCGTTTGTCAGCAGCGAGCTAGACTATATAACGTTCCTACAGAAAGTAATGGCAAGGTGTGAGAGAAGTTATACATGAAAAATTGGTTATCAATTGATTTTTGATCCCTAGTGTACGTTTTATATTAGTGAGGAGGTCAATATGTGAAGCAGAAAGAAGTGAAAATTCAAATGTCCCACTTTCAGGTTCGAAGCTTTAGTTGGTCAATGGGAAGGAGTTCGTCCGATGTCAGCACCCTGGCAAAGATTAGGACCAGCTGTGCTCCAGGGGGAATTCCAGGTAGCTGGTGTATCCATATGCAGATCAAATTGGTCATCGTTAACGAAAGACTATTTGCTGTGTTTAAGCTGTTGATTAATTTGATTTTGATTATTTTGTCCGCAAACTGGTTCACTTCTTGCTCTTTGGTGCAATACGTACGGTGGAGCTTAATGATCCAGCAGGATTTAGGAAAATATGATGTAGTTAGGTTTTTGTATTGTGGAAATTTAGGTTTTGTATTGTGGAAATATGTTGTGTTGTCGCCTGCTCTGCTTACGCTAAGAGTAGTTAGGATCTAGAGCTGACGTGGTTTTTGCTTAGAATGACTACCATGTTCTTATTTTCTGTGTGCGATTTCTCGTTGGTTCGTTTGGGTATTGTACTGTAGGGTCTCAGCTTCGGATTGCCGGACAAAACTGGGCCAAGAAATTGAAGATCTTATACGTAATGTTGATATTTTGTGGCCAGTACCGACCACAGTGCGAGAAGACATTATGATAAAGCCTATACCTTTCGTTTGTGTGAAAGGCAATACCGATGTTTCGTCGCAGAGTACCGATTTCAAACAGTTGTTTCGCAAGGTGACAGGTAGATATTGCTTTTTTGTATTTATTATTGGCTCTTCTTTTTTTTGACTCATGAGTAATTATGCTGTCTTTCCCTCACTCACCCCCACCCACCAAAACGTAAGTCATGGAGGAGGCGGTCATGTCGGTACCCACTTTTCTTCAAAATTACACTAGCCGCACCTTCTATGGTGCACTTTGCGCCCGAATCGTGTGACTGTGGCCGAGGCGCTTGAATGCTAATCGATAGGAAGCTGGAGCAGTTGAAGGAGGGCTGCTACGGAAAAAAAATTTCACTGAAGGAGATCCGACTAGACTAGAAGTTGACTGGGCTCAGCGATTTGGCTATGAGAGTCTGGCTAATTCCCGTATGGGGAGATATGGGTCCTAGGAGGATGTACGAAATTCAGCTGCCTGCCACATGATCACTCTGGTGCTGACTGACCCTCTGCTTACGACCTCCATCGTTGTAATTTCCACGACGATCATGTGGTGGCTAGGGTGGCTCAAAAACATTAGGTTTTTCGATTCTTGAGCGATACCTTACAAAGGGCAGTGCCACTCCCTTGCCGTAACACGAGTAGCAATGCCCACTTTGATACCGTTTGGTGGAGCAGGACTACACGCACATGAAGGGATAATAGTACACCTCTTCGAATGGGATTAGCTTACAAGACCGTACAGGACTCAACGACTTATGTGCACGAGTAAAGCGTAGAATTCCTGACGCTAGAATCACCAGCCTTCCACTGTCGCCTAAACCTACATCCGGGAAAAAATGCCAGAGGATTTTTACGGACCAAGTCGTGCACTTCGTTGTGGGACCACGCGTCCCTTTAACTTCATATAAATTAAGATACTTCGACGAGGGCGGATTTTTTGCGAGATTATCGCTTTTGTGCTAATCATAGTTTAGAGTGGATACTGAGTTACCGGTTTTGTGCTTTGTTAAGTAAGTACTGCTTATTAAGTTGAGTTTGTTGAGTTAGTGTAAGTACTGCTTTTGGCTGTGTTAGATTCCGAAGCTTCCGCATGAGTAGGACTCCAGCAGTCATTTATGTACACGAGCTGCTCTCGTTCACCTGCAGAAAGGGGTCTAAACAAATAATAGCGTTTTTGTAAACAAGAACGTTTTTATGTTGTGGACTGTACTATACTACACTTGATTCTAAACATAGACATCTGTCAATGATTCTGAGGAAGGTAACTCGCGTTTCCACGCAGCATTACCCTTCACCATTCCAGCTGCATTTAAAACGTAGGTAATCTTGCTGGAATTCGCTTACCATTGCGGGTGTTGAAGAATTGCAGTATGAATCTAGATCTAAGAGAGATTTGCTGAACTCAACAGTTCTTTCCCTCAGGAGCCCTCTGACACTGAGCGAGTCACAAGTGTCTCCAAACACATATCAAACGGAAATTTTCGCCCGCCGGACGTCTAACAAGCTTCTATAACAGCGATTGTATGCGCAGAATACCGGAGATAGGTTGTAGATATCCTCCTGTGCTGAAATCCAACGCGAGTGGCAGAACTTCTAAAATGCTGGCACCCGACGGGATGTGGTCCCTAAAAAACAGAAGATGCAGTGCTCATGTTTCCAGTTTCACCGCCGGCTTTATGTTTCCTAATCGAAGCAGAAGCAGATCTCGAAAATATTAAATTACGACAAAAGCGAAAATCTCGCAAAAAAAACCCGCTCATATAGAAGTATCCTAATTCAAATGATGTTAAAGGGACTCGTGGTTCCACAATGAAGTGGACGACTTGCGTCCGTAAAACTCGTCCGGCATTTTTTCCGGGTGTAGGTTTAGGCGACAGTCAGCCTTCCTTTGGGTGAGCTTGCATACTCAGTAATTACAATTCATAACGAGCAGAGTACGACCGGCAAAACCCAACCCCTTATTAACTGTGTTTTCATGGTGGCGACTTTTCTGAGTTCAAGTTTGCGCAGTCTGCTTACTAGCGAAGATACTGCGAACGCCTCGCAAATGGCACGCCTACTTTGGCTCAGGGAAAGGAGTGTACATTTATTGAATTATGCAGGTGTGGGACAAATGAGATCTTCAGTCACGAAGGTCATATTCAACTATGACTGCCACGAAATATCAAAAAATATTCCCTCTCTTGAACCTTACCCATGGGGGTAACTCAGTGACCAGATAACAAATATGCCACTCGTTTCCTGCTTCGGCGTCTTCTGGTGGTACCATCTTTCTCCCAAGCCTGATATATCATGAGTCACATATCAGTAAAGTTCACGCAGCCAAGAGAGAAAACGTGGATATAAATATCAGGGCGGTAGATACCCAAGATGTTATTCGATGAGCAGGAGCAGGCTCCCGTCTATGAACTTCATGAGACGACTGAGAGCTTCTGAACCAAAATATGAAGCCATCTCTAATCGCAGCCAGATTGAAGAGGGCCTATGGAGTTAACGTCATCTCCGAACAGCCGCGGAACTTCTTGTATAGACGGCTACCTGGGCACCAGCACTCTTGATCTGAAAGGCCTTCAACACCGAGCAGCTCCGACAAGGTCGCCAGTGTCCAAGATGTCAGGGTGTGGACATACTGTTGGGCCGATGTACGGTAAGGTAACTGTACAGTGGGAGGGGTGACGGACTATAGGTACGATCGCACTCAATTAGGAGGTAGCTCGCACCTGGCAGACAACTTTAATGAGGTGCGAAGACTTGGTGCCTAACTGCAAAGTGACCTCATTAACGAGTGAGGACTGTGAGGTCATCTGGTTATCCACATGTGTTCATAATAAGTGAGGGATGATCATTAAAACGAGGAATAAGGTTGATGAAATTTGTAGAGAGTCACTCTTTCCCACACAATAATATGCCTCCTAAGGGCTCAACTATAATAGATCACGAACCGGTCCCGCATAACTATTGCGCTCTCGATATACTATCGAGAAAACTCTTGCTGAAAGTTGAGCTGCGGGTTCACCCGATGTACTCACGTCTGACCATGAGCAACTTATCGCTGATTTGGTGCAAGAGATTTTTTGCACTGATATCGTTGTCAACCTTACGCACGAGCTATTCAGCGCCATGCTGGCGTGAAGTGGCCTCGGCAGCAAAAATAAGTGTTAGATTTGTGATAGAGGCCACCAGTTACTCTTGTATACAGGTTTTCAAGAAAGAAAAGATCTTTGGGATAGTAGACCGGCCACTGGATTGGCGGTGGCACCCCAACTCGCATCTCGTGTAGCTCACCGGCAAAATCAACCTTCGCAAATTTTCCTTCTCAAATTCGGTATGATTTCAGAGAAAACCATGTTGGTCCCAGGGCACGCGTACAAGCATCCTGGGCTTCTCTCGGTTCCCACCGTATAAGCTTCCATCAAGGTGTTTACCTACAGCCGTAACCCTTGCAACGAAACGAAAAACTCGAGGAGAAAATCCTGTGAAACTCTGTAATAGGGGCCATCAACAGCCCTGATCACGGTTCTGACATTTATAAATGGCGCCAAAGCCATTTGTCGCTAACATGGATCTGAATATATGGATCTGAATACCTTCCCACTGCGTGCGTAGTGGGATGCTGCGAAAATCACTTGAAAAACTTCAACGCTATCTCACCACGTGCCAGGTAAGGTACTTTTTCACCTTATTTCGAACAACACATCTCGATGCACGGCTGGCAAGCTCCTCCTTGACTTTGTATACTCACCATTACAGTTAGAAAAGAGCTCAGCAAAGTAGCTCGTAATGGCTTCTCTTCAGCAAACTTTTCACTCATTTTTTTGGCATTTCCAGGAATGCGAAGCAAAAATTGAAGCGATTTTGTGATTCTTATATGGACCCTTACAACAACAAACTATTTCTAAAAAGCGCGCTGCGACCTGAATGACCTCATTTGTAAGCCCTCTCCCGTTAATGAGGTCATCTCGCAGTTAGACACCAAGATCTCGCACCTCATTAAGGCTGCCTTGCTGCCAGGTACGAGTCGCCTCTTAATCAGGTTCGATCGTACCAATAATGGCTAACCCCAGTGGGAGCAGTCGTGCCATCCACCGCTTGGCGCTTGCCCGTGGCATGACCTCACTTAATTGCATGGGTTAAGTAACCTGTCCTTTTCTCACCAACAGTCTTTCCAGTAGCGCTTAGCACTTCTTATCATTGAAAAATATCTATCATCACCTTCACTCTCACCCGTCACCAATGTCCCTATCACAGAATCATGACTTGTTAATGTAAAAGGCCTTTCAGAAAATCCACATCAAAGGCTGATATCCGTACTATTCGATTATTATATGCTTGCCATCTCAATCTTTTTGCACTGGATACCTTTAGCGCTCACCCTTTGGAATTCACGCCAGGTTTCATCGAAAATTTTCGAAATAAATTTAGTAGAGCTTTGACACTGAGGGCTGTTGACCATGCGAAGACAATATCACATTGAACCGTGTGTCGCACTAGAGTGAGTGCGCCACCGAAGCGGTTGGTCATAGATCAATCGTTTACGCCGCTACCGCTACTCGCGCCAAACCAAAACGCGCGGAAATCGCGCATCCACTCTTTCACGATCATCGACCGGTTCATTCCAGCTCTAGCGAGCAGCAGGCAGGGCAGCCGTCTTCTCCCGGCACATCGAGCGGCGTCTGTGGAGCCCCCCTTTTCTCTCTCTTCGTTCATCCTCTTCGATTGATCCGATTTGTTTTCAGTCTGGTTTTTTGGGCTTTGCCCCTCTTATTCTTGTCTAACGGTTATAAGCGAGGGAAGACTCGCAAGAAGATTTTCTTTTCATGTTTTTCGTGTGTTGCTATTCCAGCTAGTCCTTTCGTTTCCCTTTGGAAGGGCAACAGACGATAAGGCTGCGACCGGTTAACCACTGAACCACTGCATAGGCAGGTCGCTAGCACAACCCGAAATTTTCTGATGTCAGCACCCCGGGAGCCAACGCCACATTCAGTTTTGGCGCCAGCTCCCACAGCGCATGCACAATGAGAATTTTCAGCGAATTCTCTCTCGGGAATATTTCGGCGTCAGAGCTGTTGCGCAGGTAACAGAGAGCTTTCATCCAAGCGAATGCTATGTTCGCGTTCAGGAGTTATAGGAGGACGTTAAAGCTACATTTCCGGCAAATCTTCCTGAAAGTTTGGGAGAAATTTCGAAAAAATCTACGTGTATTTCAAAAGGGAATAAGTATCCATTTCTCTGTTGAATTTTGCATGGGAGTCACTACTAGGAAATCTCTGGTAGTCACAAACACTGCCTGGTCAGGAACATAGCATTTTTTTTGCTACAGTGCCCTTCAGTCCTTTTAAGGCTGACACTGGAGGAAAAAGTGGTTCTCTCTCTCTCCAACAGAACGCGAACGATTGATGCTGCTGCAATATTACATTCAGGCAGTCAGGTCTCAATCTTGTCCGTCTCCTTAGCCCACAGCTTCCTCCGGGTTAGGGGGCTGTTGCCAATCGAAATTTCTTTCGCTATGAGGAATTGCATGACGAGGCGTTATGACATGCGCCGGGCGGGGGTCTGCGGTCAATTTGAACTCAACCTTTGAACGCGTCGATCTGTTTTTCTCTGCACTTTCTCGTCCGCATGGCGCTCTGTGGTTTTTGTGACTTTGCATATTCCAGCTTTTCACGGATTGTACGTGGTTCACCCAAGCCCCCTCCCTTTGAAAAAACCTATTTAATGGCTCGCCACATGCTTTTTGAATGTTTCGATGCTTTGGCGGCCGCTGTCTTTTATCGTCTGCGTTCCTCGATTTCACAACAGTTCCATGTATAGAGATAACTCTAATTTAATTTGATTTTAGAAGAACCAGAAATTTAATCGGAGAGTTCAAAGTGGTCACCATCGGGATGTTCCCGCCTGGCCCGCCATATCGACCACCCATGATGTGCTATAAAGGGGGCCACCTCGACGATGCGGCAACCATTGTCCTCCGTTTCTAATCTCTTAATTTAATAAACTGTTGCGGAATAAACTTTAATTACTTTGTCTTGCCAGGAAATTCGGATAGCTTCTGTTCCCTGTCATAGCCGAATTTGGTGAAGAATTGCGGGGTTTTCCTCGACTGTTTGTAATTTTTTGATGTCCAGCGCATTCAGGGGAAGGAACGGAAAAGTTGAATACTAGGGAATATTATTGATATGAACCAATAATATTTGCAGTATGTCTCACGAGCATACGAAGAAATTAAAGGGCCATGGTCCAGCAGGTCCTTTGTAGTTGTTGGTTGACGTTTTTTCGCTGGTGATTTCCAGCCCGCAGCTCGGCACTATGGTCCGCCGAATGAGGTCGGCTGTGGTGCTTACCGCCTCCACAGGTAGTTTTCCTTCTTTTCCAATGTTACTGATATCTTTTGCTCGCTGTTTCTATACAATACTTTTAATATCATTAGAAATGATGTTTACTTTCGGTGCGAATATATCAATTCATTCGTTTCGACCGATGACGCCGATGTTTGGTAGGTCTCCAACCGCAGAATTGTCCCACATTTATTCGGCAGTTGAGGGTGCCTGGCAAACAACCTTTAAGTCCGTGATTTCCTGGTGCCAATGGCGTCGGTGACCATCGATGTGACGTAGTATCACGTCATTCCGAGGTCGCTCCACATGTGGAGTATGACATCGCTTCAGAAGTGGCCCTACCGCCCTCCACGAAATTCACAGGAACCTAACCCGGTGGTGGGCGAGATGCAGCGCGCATGGCGTATTCAGCATTCCTCCCTCTGTGCTTTCCATACAAACCTAGGCAGGAAAGACCAACAGGTCAGCCCGCCCATTTGAAATGATGTGCATTAGTTCTAATTCTCTTGGGACGATGAACCCAAATTCGTCTTTCAGATTTGCGGAACTGTTCTTTGAGCAATGTCGAAGAGGTTTCCCTAACTGTTTTTCCAGAATTTAGGGCGCGCTGTCGCCGAAGGGTTGGCATATGTAGTGCGCAAAGACTCTTCTACAAATCAGGTACTATTCGTGTTCACGGAGGGTCAAATAACCCCTAGAGACGGCACTCTAGCAAAATCTGTTGTTCTGACTGAATGGCTGACTTGTAGCTAACCGCGATACCACCTCTAGCTTACTGGTGACTAGTCTTCGAGCAGACTCTTCATTCGCCTTTTTGCAAAGAACAGTATACAGCTCACTTATTTGTGTCGTCTACCACATTTTCCTCGAAATTAAATCTCGAGACCAGTCATCGATGGTAGGTGAGCTCCAGCCTGCTGCTACACTTCCCCATAGAATAGCTCACAATCTCCAATTCAAGTTGAAATATTAGATTTAGCCGTCCTAAACATTCGCATTTTTTGAGGGAAGAGCGGTGGTAAAAGAGGCCAGTGTTCGTAAGGTACGTCGTCGTCGACGTAATGATGAGCTAGGCATCAGTGAAGCAATGGCCATCGGTGATGAAATCCCTATGTCGTGTGAGCTGGTTCTTCTAACAATGCTTTCTTTGCCGTCATTCTTCATAATTTTAGTGAATGTATGTTAGATTGGTCCATTGGAATGGGATTAGGGAGGGACAAAGTTTGTATAGAAAACTAGTCAAGGAAGAAGTAGTCAAAATGGTCATTCTAATGAGACGTCTGCCTCCCGTTGTGACTTTGGACGCTAATTCAATCTGCCTTCCATAGAATCCATAAAGGGTTGTTCTTTGTTCTACCAAAGAGGTTCGATTGTGAACCAGATAAGGTTCGCCTTTGCGTGCATCAGTCAAGGTACAACTACGAGCTTGATCCTTTCGGAAATCGGGACCAAGAGTCCACAGAGACTTGGACTTAGACCAAGATGAACTATTATTAGTGACTACAGAGTTGGAAGACCAGCATGCTGTCACCTGCATAGCGGCAAAATACCATCGCAGTCGAGCCGTTCAAGACCAAGAAATCCAAAAGAACGTTCTGGAAGGCGTAATGATTTGTGTAATCCCATGTGGGGTAAAGGAGCATCCATTATATGCTACTGATCCGGTGTCATTCCTTTTCGTAAAAAGGCAGTGTCTAAAGGCGGTGTCCGAAGGTGGAGCACTGTAAAAAAGGGGAGAGGGGCACGAGAATCGTATGTTGCCTTTCGTTGCGTGCGGCAATGGGCTCGAGATTTGCATGATCCTTTCAAAATTTTTGGGACATCGGGTTTCATGCAGACAATGGCATGGTAGCCACTTATGCCTATGTTTGGTCATACACTGTCAATTCTCGACCAATACCACCTAAAATCGTCGTCATTAGCAGGCGCGGCGTCGCACCCAACGCCCACTGGCGCGGTGAACTATGATTCTCTTGCCACATACCCAGACAGTGCATTACGGACCACATTACCTTTTTCATGGACTTTTCGAGTTTTCGTAGGTCATCGCGGAGACTGCATGCAACCTATGCCAAACTCACATCGCTTACTGATTGAAGTGTTGGAATAATCGCTCCTGATTTCACTTGGGCCAACCTGATACTAGGGTGCTGGGCGTTATGCAGTATACGTTACGGCTAATCGAACAAGCTATAGTCATGATCCCGGCAAATGATATGGTGTGAACAGGAACATGAGTTGGATTGCAGCAGCCAGAACAGCTTCGTCGTTAATTGCTGCAGATGACGCCATTCATGGAAAGATTGCCTAGAGATTGCCTAGACAGCACTCCACGCCCCTCACCCTACTTCCCCCCCCCCTCATCTTGAACAGTTATCATGGCCGTACCAAGAAGTTGTGCAGACCTTGGAAAGCTGCATTCTGCTGTTCGGGATGCGCTGAGAAATCACCTACTTTGCAGAGAGGAGCTGTTGAGTATGATGCTTAAAGGCAGCGTCCGCGATCAACCAAAGTGAAAAACCCTCCAATGAAAACGAACGCGGAGTTCGCAACCATAGCGGAGTATCCACTCTTGCAGCTCGAAATGTATTGATTGACGAGGGCGGAGTCAACAAGGCTGAGCTGACGCCTCCTTTCCTGTTAATCCCGCCCCGACTGGTTAACAGTTATCAGTGCTTGCTGGCATTGATAAACGCTAAGTTTCTGGAGTTTCGAGCCGGCGACGTGTATTGGAGAACTCACCAAAGGTCTGCGAAACTCGTCTACATGCCTTAAATTTCGTAGTGTCTTATTTCACGCTCTTCCACACCTTTTTCCTACTTTTTTTTGATTAGTGCTTCATTGGCCACCTGTTCTAACAAATTTGACCCCTGAGACCTGCCAAAGTCCATCGCGGGCGCTGTCTCTAAGATGCAAGCGCTGTACTTCTTCATCAAGTTCTTTGATGATTTGAGGGCGGCATCTTTACCGCAAATGCGTGGAGTAGGAAGAGATTGGGCATTCCGGAATGGATTAGAGAGTGACCCTTGGCCACCCTTCAGAGTTTAGAAGAACAGAGCTTTCTCGTTAGCAGTCACTGCCTTTGCCATGAGACCTTCCTCCCTCCCCTCCCCCCCCCCTTAATAAAGAAAGAAAGGGGCAACCCACGATTGTTCAGTTCGTCGGTGCTTCTTTGAGACATAGATTGCGGACTATTCCGATCTTGCCTACAAGTGACTAAGTTCGGTTACACCTCTTGGGTGTTGAGTAGAGTACCATTCCTCGTGTGTTAGCGGCCAATAGGTCGCCCAGCATGGAGGGGAATGTCCAATGATTCCAGGCTTTGAAACCAATGAGTCGTTGCGTCATTATTGGCAAGTGAATCCTCTCTTATCACAGTGCAGCTGTTCCACCTCGCCTCTTCATTTTCTGTACCGCAGAATTCCTGTGCAGACAATCGAAACGTGGAATAATTCAAAAAATGGCATGGTGCATAGAAGCCTCTCGAGCAAAATCTTACACATATCCATCATATCCCCAATTGCTGAAACCAGCATAGACCCTCATGCTTTCGGCTGCGTCGATCGCACGTGCTTTCGTCGATCGCTGCAATCGAAATGATGCGCCATCGATCGCGTCCGACGCTCAACTGAGCGCTGCCATCGCGAAGTCTGAACGCAGCTTTACAGTAATCGGGACTAGGGAGTCAGGAGTGTTCAATTTCTTTTTCCGCACCTTTACATCATGACACACAATCACTGTGCTTACAAACGATAGGGTGCGGCGGCAGACTGAAACGCAGCCAGGGCGGCCTTTCTCTACCAATGATGCCATCTTGAGCCCACAGTCGGCTGGAAACCTGCCCCCTCCCCCCGGAGCGCCCCAAGCCACACCTCTGTCACACGCAATATCGTGTGCAAGGGTATGACTGCATTTATAATGTTATTGCCATGTTTTGTTTTTTTAGGGGACAACATGGCTCAGTTACCGTTGGAGCCGCCTGGACCACCTCCGCCATACATAGCAGGAGGTGTGTCTCAGAAGACCAATTCGGACGAAGACAACAGCAGCAGTTTGTTTATGGTGGTGATTCGTACAGTGCAATCGAGCCGAATAATCCCGAAACGATCAGGCAAGTATCAATGAGACCTTCTGATAGGTCATACCCACAGCCGCCCCCTGCATACACAGTGCAGGCAAGCGCGCTTGTGCTGAGTCCGAAACGATTAACGAAATATTGATGAAACCATCTCACCAGCCTACTCTACACCAGGAAGAATCTGCTCGATTAAGAGTAGAGCGACGTGAAAGTATTACGATCCACGGCATAAGACTCGCCATACTATATTGCGTTATGTCTCGCGTTTCATAGACTAGACACAACCGCTGTCAGAGCTACATGGCCTGCTCGAGGTCCACCTCCTAGGTAGCTAGGGCGCCGTGCAAAAACGGTGTCAGATGGTACGGTGAATAAGCGTTTTGAGTCGTACTCAAAAATTGCAACATTTAAACGATTAGAGCGGTTCGCGACAATAATTTTCGGGGTATATTTGCCAGTAAGGCTGCGTTCATATTTACGGTTCGAGGGTCCAGTCACGCGGTTTTTAGAGATGAGCAATTGCGATCAACCGGTAGTCGTTGAATAGCTGCAACTACTAAGTCGTTTCACCGGTTCCGTGCTGTTACAGCGTCCGATGATAAACTGTGGGGAGCGGTTCATAGCTGTCGCGCGATTTCCAAATCGAGCGGCTAGATTACTCGAAGTTACTCGCTAAGTATGATTGTTCCATCTTAGTGGCAAGATAATGATTTCGCCATCAACATGGGTCCCCTCTAGCGTATTTGCAAACCTCTTAAATTACATATTTCTCCGATCATCTCAATCGATCAAACAGCCAACCCATCGATAATTTCGATATGATGGAATCACTCCAGTTGCAAGTTTTCTGCAGGTCCTGAGCATGAGCAATTTTGAGTTTAGTAGAGCCAACATTACATCATCCTTATCTCTATTGAAGTTTTACATAAGGAACTGTGGTCTACGGACACAATCTCTTTAGAATATTTTTCTATATTGTGACTGCAACCCAACCTAAATCCTGTGGGGGATCATGGTTCGACGAACCAACATGAGTAGTCGGCAGTACAACAGCGTGCGAGACTTGAAGGAGGCGGTAGTTGCTGCATGGGAGGAAATCGACGAAGACACCATGACAAATCTTGTCCACAGCATGCCGGACAGAATGTTCGAAGCAATAGTGAACGCTGGAGGAAAACCAACTCTTATTTTCCACGATACATTTGTTTTTTGTTAAGTGTCCACATACTTATTTTATTAAGAAACTTTTTCAAAACAATAAATAATTGTACAGTAGTTCACAAAGTGCTCAGAAGTAGTGTATTCCTATGTTATGGCTTGTGAGGAATCCAACAATAAAAGTCTTATATCGCGAGATTCAAAGGTAATTTTGCAGGACAAAAATTTGAGGTGTCCACATACTTTTGTCAAACACTGTATAAGCCCCTGACCTCACCGCCAGGACTCCGCGGGGGATTGACCGCGTAGGTCAAAAGCCACAGAGGTCCGCGAAGGGTGCAAGCTCTGCAGTGACCGCCACACACTCTTCCCTCCTGTTGATCTTGGGGGTTTTGGATGTGATACAAAAGCCTCCAACGTTCGACGCGCTGCAATATCCGGTTCACGTGATAGTATCGCGACTGCCACCTCAAAACATGTGTCCCCGTGATACCGTACCCTGTGCTCTCCCAGAGGAGAGGCAACTTTGGACTTAGCTAATGACGAGTGGCCCATGACTGTTCCCACTTCTTTCTTCATTTTACTGGCACATCGTTTTTCCTAGTTTTGGTTTCTTTTTTTGTTTCGGTGGCGTACCACTCTATATTTCCCCTCAATAACTAACGACGGCCACAGTCGTCTTTTTTATGGCCTCCAGCGTGGGCGGGGCCACCGCGAAGCGAGAGGAGTAAAGCGGCGGTGCTGAGTTCAAGTTGCAGAAGAAGGCAGATTTTCAGTTTATTTAAGCACTGCAAGTGACTTCATATAGAAATGATAGCCAAGGCAGTCTCAACTGAGTGCACCCTTACGAGCTGCCACCCAAGCAAGCAGCGCCCTTCTGTACGCATAAGACCCGAAGGCAGTCAATGCGTTGAAGCAAATCGTAGGCGCACTTCCTTGTACAAATAGTAGTCTGGTCCTTCGTCCCCGGGATCTCCACTCTTTCGCGGCTTCACCGTGACGAATGACTGCGGCCTTCGGAAACGGGAGAAGATCTATATAGATACGATAATTCAAAAATTTTTCTCTTCCCGGCAACAACTCTGCTGTAGATTACGACGACGGGAATTCGCCTGCCGCTGAGTATCCGTGATTCAGCTTCAACAATAGACTCCCTTTACTACATTGCCTACATTTCTGCACATAAACCTCGGGAGGCTTTCTACACAGTTCTCCACTTTTGTTAAATAGTAATCAAAGCACAGATTCGTTGATCAACCACTATGACTCGCTACGCCTCTATGCCACATACCACACTTCCATTCAGAATTGCCATGACATTAATGGGACACTGACCTGCAGAACAGGCGTCTGATCCACCTGGTGGGGTCATTTGTGCACTAGTTTCTGAGAATTTCCGTAAGACCATTTCAGTGATATGGTGTGCCCTACAGTCTGATCCCTGATCAGGCATCCAATCGGGAAAAGTGGCGTAGTTGTATCAAAAGAGCGGACCCCGCGATCAAGCGGTACAAGCGCTGAAGAAGAAGAAAAAGAAGAAGGTGTGCCCTACAGTGATACACGAAAGCAACTACAGTGCCTTCACCCGGCATAACGTTTTCATCCCTGTGCCCATTATTGGCAGTGTCGCATACGAAGTACTTACCGAAGTACTTCGGTAAAATTGGTTTCCTGAATTGGTTTACTGCAAGGACTTTAATGGCCTTCAAGGCAATGGGCACGATATTTTTTCGCCCAACCCTACCGCCCTGGTGTTTTTCTTCAGGGGAAGCCAGCTAAATCGACACGCATCTATTGCTTTCGCCGAACCGCCAAACCGCGGCGGCGTTTCTCAAGAGCGGTTGGCGATTCTTCAATCAATAGGTATTTATTGCTTTTCGCCGAACCGCTGTTTCGTCAGGGTCCCAGACTGTGAACAATGCTTCGTTCCCTTATTGAAAAGCTACAGATAGCACCAAATATTCCATCATTTTATTGGTGGCTTCTTTTTATTGTCAGAATAGTTCATCGATGCTACTGCTCTGACGCAATTTAGGACACCAGCTCGGTTCCGATACGTGCTCGGATCTTGGAACATCTCTGTCCATGGAACGCGTTGATTCAGGAACACACTAACGTTAATAAGAAGGAGGGCCTGGGCTATGTCGATGATGATGGAGATCTATGCAACTTCATTTCGTGAGTAATGAAGTGACCGTAACCACTCTCAACAAAAAAATTAATTTCTGGTTGTCGAGACACTTTCAACGATTTTTTTAGTGATTGTCATCTCATGATTTCTTCTCATTAGGCTCAGAAAATTAGTAGGATTTCAGTCCTAGCGCTGGCAGTTAGGCGAAGTTTCACCACAGGCAATAATGCAAGGGTGCAAAGTTATTATAAGGTCTGCGCCAACTGAGAAGAGTTCCGCCCGCATGAGGTTCACTTTGAAACCGAACTGTATACTGAAAAGTACTCTTGTACCCCGTCAATACTCGGCTTTGTTCTCGTATATAATTTTGTGAGGCTGGGGACTCTTGAAAGGACCTATTTGTTCGCCTGTAATTGTCCAGTGTCAAGCCCATTTCCCGGCCGTGTCGTAGCAGCTATGAGTTTCTGGAAAAAGTGTTTCTGCATAGCTTGTTCAATATTACACTCTCTGAACAGTACAAGAGCATCACTTACACAAGCAGAATTGCACGTCATTGGGTGCGTCCTAGAAATAGGGTAACTCGTCCGGATCACTGAGCACCCCATAGGGTAATTCCCGATCACTAGGTACCTTGAACTGTCTCCTTTGGTGGGAATCAAAAATGGGTGTAATCAATATAGCACCCCTCCCTAGTTGAAAGACAGTAATCTGCGGGCTATTTCGGGCGTCTGCCGCAGTTAGTAACTGGCAGCTGTTTGACTACTGAGGGGCAGACGAGAAGAACTTGTTCCTAGCGTTCCATCTTACTGTTCTTTTGTAAAGTCACGCACCTTAGGGCGTTTAAACAATCCAAAGTGCGCAAGCAGCATGAAATCTGCGGTGAAGTCAACCGTGGAGTCACGCTATCTCAGGCAGAATTCGTACTTGAAGAGGACTATCATGCCCTACAGCAATTTATACATGAAAACAGTGGCCATACCAAACGCGTCAGTTGAACCAGCCTCGGCGTTATGGTAAGCCTACAAATAACACTAACTTGAGATCGACGCTCTGTTTATTGAGAGGAACTACAGTCTCTATCTTTGACATATTGAACTATTCCTACTCCAGCCTTCGGAAGCAAGCCAGTTTTTTGCCGACTTTCTGCGAGGGGAGAACCCAGACGAGCACTGTTGAAACGGTTCAGATATGTATTAGGTTGTCCCAAAAGTTCGTGGACACTTTCAAACTTTTTTTCGAATTAAGTTTATTCCAGTGTGAAGCAATTTTGATCAACTATATATATGTCACCTTCATTGGCAACTTGTTGCCAATCACTACGCAATGTGTGGTTGCCCTGCTTCCAGAAGCCTCTTAGTTCTGTGCCCAGAAAGGCAGCTGGGTCATTTTTGAGGTACTATCAAAAATCGTATTTTTTACCAAGAAGGTGGCCGCTGTGGGATTAGTTTAGATGGCGATCGGAAAGAGCTAAGTCAGTGCTACACGAAGACTGTGCTGGAATTCCCCAGCTAAGCTTCAGGATCTCGAACAGTGTCGTTTTCCATGTGTGACCCTGAACTGTGGTGGAATAGGCAAACATTGCTCGGTTTTGGGACCAAATGGTAGAGATTTTCCACCCTACTTTGCCATTGATTACAATAGGGCTCCCTGGTTACCACAGCGTTGGAAGGAAAGAATTCCATTCCGAGAGCGGAGAAAGGTACCCCACCACATACACAGCCTCAGCGCCGCCGTACTGGATTGATAGGATTGCGCGAT